GCCTAATAGTACAGGTATCAGGCGCTCAAACAAAAATACAAAAAAATATATATTCCAAGTGGTGCCAAAAATATGAAGGTTTTAAAAATATGTTTTTATTAACCTTACTGTACTTTCATGTACGCCCCTGCTGCAAATTAATGAAATTCATTGCGTTTTTGGTGTTCTCTTACTCCTCACAGACATTTCTATTAGAAATACAGTAAAGAGTATGACTATCTATTGTACTTTTTTGCAAAAAAATCTAAAAACTGCAATTTTTAACACGATTTTTTTTAAATTATTTTGAAAAAGTTTGAGAGCCATCCGTGAAAAAAAGTATGAAGACCTAAGTGGCCAACTATTTCAAAAATATGCACAGTTAATACAGTTTCAAAATGGTATAATACATAATTTTATTTAACGTTAAGATGCAAAAAGTATAAAGTTGACTGAAGAAAATAATCTTGTCTTAAATTGTCATAATAAAAGCGTTAAATTGTACATAAATCAATCTTTATTTCATAACAGGTGTTCGAATTGTCTGCCTTGCCTGTCTCTTCTAATAAGTGCTCTTCTAAGAAGTCATGCGTAGCGTCCGTGGCAAAGCTTGGCACACGTAGAGCTAGTGTTCAAGGAGTTCCAGTAGCATTCACCGAAGTACACTTTTAGGTCACTCTATCAGTCCGGAGGCAGAGACGGATTAAATGTCGACTGCGTCCTAGGCTAGCCTAGCAACTCATCGGCGCCCCTCTAGGCTATATTTTATTTATTAAAAATTAAATATACTAATTTTGCAAAAAAACTATATTATAATTTATGATATTGTTTAATAATTGCAAAATAATTAGGATACGAGTACCCTTAGCAGGCGGGCGTAAATGAAAAATGTGATGAGAGAGTAAGAACGATTTAGGAGTAACCAACTGCGACGATATTTTTTTAATTTAAGAACTTCCGCGCACGCCTTTTTAATCTTGCGCCCCTAGGCACGTGTCTAGTTTGCCTTACGGATAATCCGCCATATTCGGAGGTAAGATCTCATCACAAATAACAAAACGTGCCCAAACTCAGCACACCTATTATTATTACTATTCTTAGAGGAGTTCCAGTAGCATTCACCGAAGTACACCTTCAAGTTAGGGTAAGGTTTCATCCTAACTAACATAACGAACACAATCTCGGCACACCTAGTTCTACTCGTTGAGGAGTTCCAGTAGCAAATATCGAAGTACAGCTTCTGGTCTCCATAGTATCCAAGACGTATAAGTATATCTATAATATAAAAATGAATCGCTGAATGTGTTGCTAAGCGTAAATCTCGAGAGCAGCTGAACCGATTTCGCTAATTCATTTTTTGTAATATCCCTTGAAGTACGAATATGGTTCTTACGAAGAGAAAAATTTAAAAAATTGTCTGATAAAGTCTAAAAACAACACTTTTCTATATTCCCATATAAAGGATTCGTAATGATACTTAAAAGTCAATTTGAACTTTAATGCCATACCATAAAGTTTAGGTCTTAGTGGAGGGGTTCCGGGAAGGGAAAGCAATTGATTGACGTTAGTATCGTATAAATATTAATGTTAATATTTGTCAATATTTATACATACTAGCAGATAGCTGATGTTATAAGGAGTAACTTGGGCTGCTTTTGTTTTAGGGTTCCGCGAAAAATTACTCCACCCGGGCGAAGTCGCGGGGAACAGCTAGTTTATATATAAATCCAAATAACAAAATATTCTATTAAAAATCTGTGATTATAAAAGTAATAATCTTCTTACCTTGGTTAAGTATGTATCAAATTTGGTTTTTGGAATATTTTGTATTTGTAAAGCGATCAATATTTTTCAGCATGAACCGCTGTAAATAAACGACCACTCACGACGGCGGTTAAGCCCGGAGTAAAAAGTAGTCTGTGGCCGGGAGTGAGGCAAAGTGTATTTAGTAAAATAAATTAACACAAGGCTGCTCAAAACACGCTAATTTCGCTATTTCTCAGCCGAAAAAAAATAATTATAACTAAACAAACAAAATTAAACTCATTTACATTCCATATCTTCCCACGTGACAGATGAAGAGTTTAAAAAATAGACTTAATGGAACAATTTATATTTTCAAAAGTTATCGTTACGCCTCCATGCGACCTTGATAAATCTACACCTTATGCCACTAAAACCGCTTTTTTTTTAAATGTAATAGCAATTGATCGATTAGAAAATAATAATAAGTTCAATGTGCTTTTTATATCATTTATATGTTCGATATGATTGTTATATACGATTTCATGCGACAAAACGTTGGAATCTTGATTTTTAGCGCTAGTAGAACAAACCTACGCGCATTGCGCTTAAGATATGCAATATCCGTTCGTAGGTGCCCTTAGCGAATCTAGACTCAAGGCCTCCTTAAGATGACAGAAAGTGCCGTTTACGCCAGATATACAATAACCAGACAGGCAAGGGGCAGCAGCAGCAAATGTGCGTGACGTCTAGTGCTGCGATCGTCAGTCTGCTTGTCAATTGCAAACATTAATGTAAATCATCCCTACAGCGAACGAGGTTCATATGCAGCTGACTTTTGGAAGTGATGGATCGGAAGAAATATCTTACCTTATTGTTTGATGGTGTTGCTGTCACTTATACTTCATCTATACAAATAAATAAAATTGAAGAGTCTGTTTGGAATGTCAAAATAACAGCTTTTTACTAAATGCATATGAAAGTACATATATACGGTACTTTAACGTGGTAGAGCCATGCTGCAGCTATATTAATAGTATAGTTGTAGCACGAATGGATCGGCTCGACCGGGGAAGGACCACGCTCCCACAGAATACCAGCATAAAATAGCAGCTTAATGCTGCTGTATGTCGTATGGTGAGTGTAGAGAACCAGACACCCTTTTTACTGAAAAAGAGGCATTTCATCTTAGTCCTCATGGATGACAACGCATCTGCATTTTGATTTGTAATCAATGATAGATGTAGATGTCTATGGCCTACTGTAGTCTGTCTGTATGTCTGTTTGTTCCGTTTACGAAACGGCTGGACAGATTTTGACGGAATTTTCATTGACAGATAGATAATGTTATGAGGAGTGACTTAAGTTAATTTAATTTTAGAAAAAGAATAAGGGTTCCGCGCAAAAAATAATTAAAGCAACTGAAATGCAATCGTAATAAATTCTTGTCTTTTCTTTTTAATTTCATGTATGATTTTTAGTTGATAGGGTTATTAATAGATACCGCATCCGCAACCACTGAGGCCGGGACCGTAACCAAATCCGGTAGCAAGGCCAGGTCCGTAACCCCACCCAGCGGCAGCCGGATAACCCCAAGCGGATGCGGCGATGTCTTCGCTTATTATACCCACGGCTCCGTTTCCGCAACCGTAAGAGACGGCACCAGCACCAGCAGTTGGAAGTACACCCTCCAGACCAACAGTGCCTAGGAATGGCAGCTCCCCACCGACAGCCAGGATTCCTGCGATCTCGTTCTCTGAGAGAACAGACACTCCAACAGGCGGGATGGGAGACGCGCTGGCGACAGGGAAGCCACCGCCGCTAGCAGCTGGTATGGCAGTTAGTCCGCAACCGGCACCGTAACCAGACCAGCCTAAGCCTCCCCAAGGGGCGCCGCAGGGAGCACCATCAATCAAGGAACCTTCGTAGGCCAGTCCGTTGCCCAAGCAGTAGGCAGTGATGGTCTGAATATTAATTAAAAAGAAAAGTTATATTTCATTAATTTCTTATAACTTCTCAAAGTAAAACTATTATTTTTATTTAAAAATCCAAAGTTTGCAAACTTCTTAAATAATTTTCTTAAAAAAATAATTTCTTATTTTTATTTAATTAAAACCATTCGCCGTCCCGTGCACTACATACGAGTATAGTTGATAGCTATTGTTTTACTATTGTGTCTGAAAATCGTACAGTGAAATTGTCCAATTTAATATAATATGTAATGTAATTTAACAATGAAATTTTTAACTTGATAAATTAATTTGTATTAAAACGTTTAGTAGTTAGTTATTTTTTTTTCTTACCTGAACCATGAGTGCTTGAGCGAAGAAAAGAATGAAAGTTTTGGTACACATATTTGTTGTGTTAATTGAAAACAAGTGTGAGTGCAATTTGGGTCGACTGGCTTATATACAGAACTTGGAACTGTGTATGCTGACATATATCGAAATGTTTTTGAAATAATATCACGCAATTCCATGTTCTCTTATACGTGACAAACACAAAGAACATACTCGTAATACAAAAACTATTACAAATCATAGAATTTTTTAAAACTAGATATTAAATTCCCACATTCTTATAAATCCAGTTTGTACTAATAAATATAGTTTTCGAGGGGTTTATGTCTGTTTAACTCCTCGTCAAGTTAAATAATTCTTTATCTTGTGGAGAACATAGTGCATTATTTTAGTCTTTGATATACATTAAAGAATTTGGCTCATACTCATCTTGCTGGGTAAGCATGCGCCTGGTTTTCCACATTTTTTATTTGATAATTAGTTTAAAATAAAATCCAAATAAAAATTGGTCACGTTCCACAACAAGTGAAACACAGGTCAATGTCTCATCGATATAATTCTTTAACGGAACACGTTTACGTTTATTATTTAATTACGAAATAATTGCTATTCCTACAGGGAGTAAACAGTATATAATGCATTGTTTTTACATTTTTGAATCACTTTACTCTTGGTACAGTTGGAAAAACCTTAACCATGTCTTCTTTCGCTTTCTTCTTGCTCTGCGTTCAAGCATTCGTGATCCAGGTAAAACTCTAGCAGATTTATTATAATCTTTGTAATCATTTTATTTATATAATTTGGATAAATTATATAAACAAACTACTTTTAATCAACGTGGTTGAAATTTATATTCATGAATCAATTTTGAAACTCAATAAATCGATAATTATTAAAAAAAAAAAAACTTTTACTTCATAAACTCACAATCGGTTAAAAGTGCTACGGCGTATCGTAAATATGTTTCTCCATTTTCAGAATGTATACAGTCAGTGCCTCGGCGCTGGACTTGGCTTGGGTTATGCTCCAGGATTAATTGGTGAATACGGATTGGGATGTGGACCTACTTTAGCCAATGAATTTGCTTACGGACCTGGAATCGGTCTTGGATACGGTCTCGCTGGCCCTGGCGCCCTTGGCTACCCAGGGGGCATTGCTGGTCCAGCCTACGGAGGCGCAGGTATTGGTGACGTAGCAGTCGCTGGCGAGATGTGTGTCGGTGGTAGCACCCTAGTAGCTGGTCAGGTGCCGATTCTGGGCGCTGTTAGATTCGGTGGTGAAGTTCCAGCTGGTGGTGTTGTCTCCATCACCGGAAGCTGCGGTGGAAACTGTGGTTGCGGTTGCAACGGTCCTTACCTGTACTGAAGTTAGGCAATAACGAACAGCTAGCAAATGTAAAACTGAAAATAATTACAAATCATTATATATACTATATTGCAGATTTTCATTCCATGATGCTCTCCTTTTTATCATTTTTTTCCTGACACATTTTATATGACAGGCAGTGAACGCGTTGTGATATGGTGCAGTGGGTTCCCTTACACAACCAATGCACATTGATTCCAAATTCAGTCTTGAATTATAAAAAGTTGCCTTTATTGAACTTCAAATATTAAAAATTTCATACTTTTTTAGCTTATCTCAGTTCTCGGGCCGATCCGCTGGATTGATCGCACTTCGATATGCAAAGGTTCCTTTATGTAACTTAGTACTGTGTACAGATTTTTATATTTGCTGTAGCTTATTATTGAACTGCTATATTACTTTGTTGACACGTAATTACTTTAACGTTTCTTATATTTACTTTATAATATACCGACCTGTATCGACTTAAGGCATCATCGACGAAATCTGGGTATACACTATATAAAAATAAAAAATACATAAAACTACTCTTTCCCTCTCAGCAACTTTCGCGGGCGCGCACACTATAAAGTTTTAATCTAAAGTTTGGCTGGCTGGTATTCGTTTACGCATAGCAGACATATAAAACAAGTAAATGTTCATTCTTTTGACAGAATAATTTGAGGGCCCTCATACGTGGTACAGCCTTGCCACAGCTATATTAATAGTATAGTTGCAGCACGAATGCGTCGACTCGACCGAGGAAGGACCACGCTCTCACAGAATACCAGCGTTAATTAGCAGCTTAATGCTTAATAGTGTTTCATATGGTGTGTCCGGAGACCCATGTTACTGTAAAAGAGGCATTCCAGCTTAGTCCTCACCGCTGATAACGTATCTGCATTTTATTCGCAAACGAGGATAGATGTAGACGTCTATGGGCCACGAAAACGGAAAACTGATTATCCGTAATTTAAACTGTATGTAAGTTTCTACCATAGTGTGAGCACCTCGGGTTGTATAGGCTCATAAATACATCTTTTTAATATACTATATTACTATCATCCAGTGTAGTGGCGTCCCCGTCTAGTGGCGGTTAAGAATATCCACTACCCCATATCTTCCCGTGGGTGTCGTAAAAGGCGACAAAGGGAAACAGGCAGGAGATGGGCAGCAGCATCTTCCTGATAATAGCCAAAATAACAATAAAAAAACTGCGGTTGCCAACCCGCTCGCCAAGCGTGGCAACTATGGCAATATACCCCCCATGAGCAATGACAATAATAAACGGCCCCCAGTCCCCGGCGGCCCCGCTATTCCTGGCTACGGTGGCGACGGTAAGAATCTCCGGTGGAGGTTCGGTTGCCACCTACGACGACTCGACCTGGCAACATACAACGCACGCACCCTGAAGACTGACGAGAAGATTGTGGAGCTGGAAGAAGAGATAGACAAGTTACGCTGGCATATTATAGGATTATCCGAAGTCCGAAGAGAGGGGGAGGACACGGTAATCCTTGAATCCGGCAACTTGCTCTATTACCGGGAGGGCGACCATCTGTCCCAAGGAGGTGTCGGATTTATCGTCCACAAGTCTCTCGTTAACAACGTTGTAAAGATTGAGAGTGTGTCGACGAGGGTTGCGTACCTTATACTCAGAATCACCAAACGGTATTCGCTGAAGGTCATACAGGTTTACGCACCAACCTCGGCACATCCCGATGGGGAGGTGGAGGAAATGTATGAGGATATCTCTAGAGCCATGCATTCCTCCAAAACCCAATATACGGTGTTAATGGGGGACTTCAATGCAAAACTAGGCACAAGAGAGAACGGTGAGCTGAAAGTAGGGAAATTTAGAATAGGGCAACGGAACCCAAGGGGCCAGCAGTTGGCTGACTTCATGGAGAAAGAGGGACTCTTTATGATGAACTCTTTCTTCCAGAAGCGGCCCCACAGGAAGTGGACCTGGTCGAGCCCCGAATGTTCGACAAAAAATGAGATTGATTTCATTATGACGACCAGACGACAACTGTTCAGTGATGTCTCAGTGATTGTGAGGGTGAAAACCGGCAGCGATCACCGAATGGTTAGAGGCACACTGAACCTAAACGTTAAGTTGGAGAGGTCTCGTCTAATGAAGTCAACGCTCCGTCCCCCTCGTGCTCTAATCCAAAGTCCCGAAACCTTTCAGCTCGAGTTACAAAACCGTTTTCAGTGCCTATAAGACTGCAATGAAGTGCACGATTTGAATGACAAGCTCGTGGAAACTGTCCATGCGGTCGGAGCTAAGTTCTGCAAGACCCGCCTCACAAGAACACAAAAACTCTCCGATCACACTCTTAATCTCATGGCTGTTAGACGGGAGATGAAGCTACATTATTCAACAGATTTAACAGCATACAGGCAACTGAACAGACAGATCTCCAAATGCATGCGGCGGGACTTACGCAACTTCAATACAGCTCGTATTGAAGAAGCGATCGAGCGGAACCAAGGCTCCAAAGTCTTTGCCAGAGATCTGTCTGCCAGAAAGCGCCAACTGTCAAAGCTGAAGACAGAATGTGGCAGCATCGTTTCCGGGGCACCTGAGATTTTGAGTGAGATTGAGAGGTTCTATGGGCAGCTGTACACGTCATCGTTGGAGCCGCACGCAAGTGTGAGTAACAATCCAAGAGCGAGTCTTATCCGACATTATTCCGATGATATCCCGGACGTCAGTCTGAGCGAGATTAGAATGGCTCTCCAGCACCTTAAAAACGGCAAGGCCCCAGGCGAGGATGGAATTACAGCGGAGCTTCTGAAAGCGGGTGGAAAACCGGTACTTGAAGTCCTTCAGAAGCTCTTTAATTCCGTCCTCCATGGTGGCATTACACTGGAGGCGTGGAGCAGAAGTGCGGTGGTCTTGTTCTTCAAGAAAGGCGACAACGCTCTCTTGAAGAACTACAGACCGATTTCCCTTCTGAGCCACGTCTACGTGCTGTTTTCGAGAGTCATTACGAATCGTCTCGCGCGTAGACTTGATGACTTCCATCCTCCCGAACAAGTCGGTTTCCGAAAAGGCTTTGGCACCATAGACCACATACATACCCTTCGGCAAATTGTACAGAAGTCCGAGGAGTACAATTTGCCACTATGTCTGGCGTATGTGGACTATGGGAAAGCCTTTGATTCCGTCGAAATTTGGGCGGTGCTGCAGTCCCTTCAGCGATGCCAAGTTGACTGTCGGTATATCGAAGTGTTGAAGTGCTTGTACAGTAGGGCTACGATGGCTATCCGAGTACAGAACCAGAGTACGAAACCTATTTAATTGCAGAGAGGTGTAAGACAGGGTGACGTCATATCCCCGAAACTCTTTACCGCTGCATTGGAAGATGTTTTCAAGCTTCTGGACTGGAAAGGATACGGTATCAACATCAATGGCGAGTACATCACTCACCTTCGATTTGCCGACGATATAGTCCTTATGGCAGAATCGCTGGAGGACCTAAGCACTATGCTCAATGACCTCAATAGTGTTTCCCAACGGATAGGTCTTAAGATGAACATGGACAAAACAAAGATCATGTTTAATGTCCAAGTCACACCTATGCCGGTAGTTGTTGGGAACACTAAGCTCGAAGTTGTTGACGAGTATGTTTACCTGGGACAAATAGTCCGATTAGGTAAGTCCAACTTCGACCGAGAGGTCAATCGACGGATTCAACTCGGTTGGGCAGCGTTCGGGAAATTACGGCACATCTTCTCGTCAGGTATACCTCAAAACTTGAAAACGAGACTGTACACCCAGTGCGTGTTGCCAGTGATGACATACGGAACTGAGACGTGGTCCTTCACTACTGGCCGGATGAGGAAGCTCAAGGTCGCTCAGCGAGCTATGGAGAGGGCTATGCTCGGAGTTTCTCTGCGTGATAAACTCAGAAATGAGGATATCCGCAGTAAAACTAGAGTGACCGACATAGCCCAAAGGATTAGTAAGCTGAAGTGGCAATGGGCCGGCCATATAGCTCGAAGAACCGACAACCGATGGGGAAGAAAGGTTCTCGAGTGGCAGCCTCGTACCGGCAGGCGAAGTGTAGGGCGTCCCCCCACGAGATGGAGTGACGACCTGGTAAGATATGCAGGAAGTCGATGGATGCAGGTGGCTCAGGACCATGCTTTGTGGCATTCCTTGGGGGAGGCCTATGTTCAGGAGTGGACTTGTGAAGGGCCTTAATGATGATATCATCCAGTCGCTTACTAGACATAAGAAATAACTTATTATATATATATTTGCACAGGATATATTTTATTTAAATCATTATATATAAAAGCAGACTGACATGGGTACTGTCTAATTGCAAAGACTCTACGTACAAGAGGTATACCTCTTGTACGTAGAGTCTTTGCAATTAGACATATACTATAGGCACAGGCTATAGAACACAATATTATTTCTTCCCTTTTTTGAGGGAATTCATTAAACGGTAGGGATATATGATATTTTAGAATGAGGTTAAGAACAAAAAAAGCTTTCTAACTGAGAGAATTTTACTAATCTGATATAGGGTGTAAGTGGAGAATCTATAAGGTTTGAAATACATGACCTTCATAAGAGACCTATGTGCACTTCTAGTGCAGATCTAAAAAGTTGTTCTTGGTGTCTCCTCCCCAGATTTGGATGCAATTGGATATTATCGATTGTGCTAAGGCTATCTAAATTTTATTTAATAGAGTGCTAGACCTTGCTGACCTTAATCCATTAAATACCCAGATACAGAGAACTTTCTGATCGGATTTTTAACAGCTTCCAACTGCGAGTGCCAATTAAGCCTTTGATCAACGATGATGCCGAGGTATTTA